TTGGGTGGTTGAACTGTGACCCAGGCTGTGAAGTCTGTTAATCCTTGAATCAATTTGCTAAATTGAATCTGCACGGGCTCTGACGTATGTAATGGCCAACAAGGCCAATATATTCCCTGACTTTCCTTTGCTCCGGGTCTTGCCTGAATCCTGCGTGTTCAGCAGGGAACTGCTTGACCCTGGCTAGCCAACCCAATAAACTCTACTTTACAAATTGCATTCTTGCGTGATGCTCTGTCTTTCGCAGTAGTTGAGTTCTCGGCTCAGAATGCAGTAGTCGAGTTCTCGGCTCAGAATGTTTTGATATAATGATTATACAAAAAAGGGAGGTCATAAGATAAGTTATGCTATTCATAGCATTTCCCCTCCATCCGTATCGTGTCTGTCGACAGAGGTTGCATAGCTTGTGTCAGACATGAAGGATATCATCAGATGAACTTTAAATGAAAGTAATATGACAGTCTCACTCCCAATGAGAAAAGCAAATGGAAAAGAAATGACAAACAGAAGATCTACAAGAATATGGGTCCATCTATCAGGAGATTCCAACAAGTTAATCATGCAAGTGTCTAAAAGAGCAGGGAGTGGAAATCGTAAAATTCAAGCCAATCCCTGAGCATCACAGACAACATGTGCACATGGAGTGTCCACCCGGCTCCGCCCACAGAGGACGGGCAGCCCCACGCCAGACCTGCCACCAGGGACTTTCAGACAGAGGCTGGGGAAGGACAGACCCTGGGGTCCTTGAGAGAGAACACAGGCCTGGAGGCCAGAAGGCCCTGACCAGGCCTGCCCAGCCCTCAGGGGGTCAGCCCTGACCCCAGGTCAGGTCCAGATGAAGGGAAGTGCTGGGCCTCAGAAACCACTTCAGTTGTTCTGGCCTCAGGGTCACTTTCCACATCCCTCTCTAGTAGGCAAAGGACACAAGTGGGCAAAGGGAGACAAAAAGGATGGACACAGAGAACAGGACACAGGGAAATCAACATCAGGGGCAGGGACAGGAGAAAGGCCATGGTTGAGGGGAGGGGTCCAGGCCTCAGCCCTGCCCAGGTGAGCAGGCCCCAGGCCTCCAGAGGCAGGACTGAGGCTGTGGGACAGGGGTCGGCACAGAATGGAGCAGGCAGGAGAGCTGGGGTGTCTGTGTCTGTGGAGACTCTGACCCTGGGGAGGGCTTGGGGAGATTAGGAGTGAGCACAACATGAAATAAGCTAGTGAGGGGGAAAAAGGCAATTGTAACCCCAGGGCCAATAAAAATCAGATCGAAGAAGAAAAAGTGTCCTGGTCACACACTGGCTCTCATGGGATCATAGCACTTCAAACCCTGGACCCCAGGGTGCATGTCAACAACTTGCCAGAGTGGCCTCAGGGGGCAAATGCCTGTGCTGTTATACAAGGGGCCACCTCCAGCCCTCCTTGCCACCCAGAGCCAGCTCTCAGGTCTTTTCATGCAGGAGACCATTGGTCAGCCATAAGCAGCAGCTGAGCTGTGTTCACGCCTTCACAGCCATATGTGACCACTTAAATCTATCATCAATATTTTTATCATCAGTTTTATTAGACAAATTATATTATAGGCAATGTCTGAAGCATAAATGCATTAGAGCAAGCGATGACATTTCTTCTAGAAAAATGACTGTCTGATCAGATGAAAGACAAGTAAATAGGATCTCCCAGGTGAACAAGGGTTAATCTCACCACTATTAGGCAATCACCAGCCACTTCAGCATGAGTTTGATCCCCAGCCAGGAGCTGACTCACATGGCCAGCAGACCTCTCCTGTCTCACC